CCGCTGCACCATTGAGATGGGCGCTTTTTTCCATTGAGATGGGCGCCTCATGAATTTTTTTGTCTTGGCTGTGCTGGAACCTGGATCCTCCTGATCTCTGCTTCTCAAATAGCTAGTATTGTAGGTGTGAGCCACCAGCACCCAACTGAAAAGTTTTTAAATGTTGACAACGGAACAATTTGTTCTGGATGTGATTTTCATGTCAGTTAAAAAGAGGATATACTGGCAATGCTACATGTAAATGGCTAATGGATGTAGTACATTCCAAAGTTTGGAAAAGTTGGTGGTGCTTTTCCTGATATTTTGTTTTTCCAGAAAAAAGCCCAGTGCTATGTGACCATGTGTGTGTGCATGCATGCACATGTGTCTTTCAGAAGTTGTGTCTGGATCACTTCTTTTGCTCCTCCCAGAGGAGGTTTTCATAGCCTTCATGAGCCACTACCAAAATGCTGTCCTCTTCCTCTTCTAAAGAGGTATGGGTGTATTACATATCTGTAACATATGGAATGAGTCTTGACTCAAGGAACTGTAAGGAAAGGAATTTATTAAGGTATTTTTCAGAATGATGGAGGAAAATAAGTCTTCTTACTTTTGTTACCAGAGCTAAAGGCAAGAGGGAGCCTGTTGTCAGGGAGTCCTAACAAAACAGGTCCAGCCACTCACCCCAGAAATCAAACAGAAAAAGTAATGGTGAAAGGCAGGAAATGAAGCTTTTCAACATAGCTTATTAGAAAAACAATGTGGGTCAAGCATCCACAAGGATGCAGACTTGGGCTCCAGGATTACATAGGGAAAGATTTAAGAAGTCAAGTAGCCTGGTCAAACTGCTCTGATTGGTCCTTATCTCAAGATTGGTTTTGTGAAGCTGGAGGTGGGTGGGAAATCACTTGAGGGGGCAAATTGGTTCCTATTGTGAGGTGATTACTCCTGCATGGGGGCCCAGGCACATCATCCACCTCTAAGGCTCCCTATTCCTGCAGGTGTATGGAAATGACTGAAAACATCCAGTGTGGAGACAGTCAGGCACGCCACTCCAGGGTTCTGGAACTAGACATTGTAAAGACTGGCAGTTGACAATCTATTAATTAGGGTCCCTGCAAATCTTGAAAGCACCTTAGTTACTCTTAACTGGGTGTCTTCAGCCTTGAAGAAGGAGGACAGCTCCTGAAATGATAAACACACCTGTGTGCAGAGGGGTGACAGACCCAAAATTAAGGCAGAGATGTCAAGCTTTTATCCTGCTATCAGTTGTCCACTGGGCATCTGCAGGGCCAAGGGAAGGGACAGTGCTCTCTGCAAAAGCAGTCTCTGAGATGCAGCCATAACTTTGTGAATGAACTGATTTTTTCCAGGCGTCCAGGGAGAAGGGCCTCATAAACGTCATGCTGAAGACCTTATTATTCTCCCTTTTACTCTAGTCTTTCAGTCCATTAATTCTGCTCATTTGGGAAGCCCATCTCCTAAATGACTTTATCCTTTGCTAAACTCCTTCATCCCCTCTAGCCCTAGTCATACGATGCCAGCAATGGAGATCATCTTCCTAATCCCCAACCATTAACTTTCCTGTTTAGCCATAATCCCTGGTACATTAGTGCTGCCTTGCTTTACATCTCCTGAATTGACTTGCTTTTTTTTTTTTTTTCCAACTTCCTTTCAAAGGGCACAGAAAGAGACACTTCCCTGGGGGAAAAAAAGAAGGAGAAAGGGAATATTTTCAAAAGCAAGCCTACTTCTTGTAGCCAAAAAGTAAAATTAAACATAGCCAAAATTTAATCTTTGAATTCACCTTATACACCCACATTTTAAGGACACATATTTCAATTGCTAAACAATTGTTTTACATAAAATTCAATTTTAGAAACATTATTCCTAGCTGGTACAGTGGTTCAGATCTGTAATCCCAACCCCCAGAAGGCCGAGGCAGGAGGATTAAGGTGTGAGGCCTGCCTGTGCTATGTAGCAAGACCCTGTCGTAAAGATAAACAAGTAAGGGGCTGGTGGGAGTGGCTCAAGTAGTAGAGCACCTGCCTAACAAGGATGAGGTCCTGAGTTCAAACCCAAGTTCCACCAAAAAAATAAATAACTATTGATTTTCACTTTACCTGCTTCAATACTTTGATCTCCTTTGGTCATAATCTGTGATCATTGTTTAACAATACTGTTTGCCATTTAATTATTCTCCTCAGTCTTTGAAAAGAGAAATAATTTAAGTGATTGAATTGGATACAAATACTATAAAATACTAATTGAACACAACTGAAAAAATGCCCAAGCTTTCAAAAAGCAAAGCAGTCAACATTTGTTTATCTGGGGTTCGGATTTCTTATTATAAATGTGAAATTTGCAGGTTGGTGGTGTTTCCTCTCTTTACTTAGTAGTCCTTCTTCAGTGCCTTTCCATCCTTGCCACAAGTTCCAGATATCACTATAATTTGTCTGCCAATCTTCCCATTAACTGAATAAATTTCTCAGGTTCTTTCTATGCTAAAAAAAATCTATTGGCTGAATATTTTATTCATGGAATTTCTCCTGGACTAGAAACTACAGAGGACAGGAATTTGGGAGCTATTTTTCAGTAGCATTTTTCTAAGACCCAGAGCTGCGTTTGGCATAGAAGATATGATCAAAAGTACGTGTTGGTTAGGCATGATGGTACATACTTGTAATTCCAGCACTGAGAGGCTGAGAAAGCAAGACTGCAAGTTCCAAGGAAGCTGAAGATCTAGCAGTCTTCAAAGGGTAACAGAGCTATATACAAGACACATCTCAAAAAAATTCTTTTGTTAAGGATTACATGCCAGTTATTGAAGGTAGTTTTATTCTACATGCTGAGGACCCAAAATAAACATCCCCTCCACCCCCAGAGCTTACTTGAGGTGAGTGTAACAGAGATTGATCGTAAAAACAAATACCAAATTTCAAGCGTGAGTGTGCTATAAAAGTACAAAGTGCTATGACGGTTTAGATGAGAGAGATATTGCTGGGAACATCTAGGAAGGCTGTTTGAAGAAGTGACTTGAGCTGGGACTGGATGGTGATTAGTAATGTCTTAGAGGATCTGGAGAGGGAAGGCTCATCATGCTTAGTTCCACCTCAGTTCTTTTCTTTCCCTCTCACTCTCATGTTCCCTTGGGTAGTTACCATTGCAAACTCTTCCTGCTACCTTAGTTTGCCAACTATTAATAGACTTTCATAAATTTCAAGTGTAATGTAAGTCTCTTTTTAGTAAACATCCAATACTTACCCTTCAGATAAAAATGCCAGCATTGGGTTGGAGTTGTGGCTCAAGTGGTTGAACACCCACCTAGCTAGCATGAGTTCAAACCTGAATAATGCCAAAAAACATCCAGTATTACTTTAGAAATAACGAATAAAATATCTAAGAGAGAAATGAATTAATTAGGCCAGTATCTCCTTTTCTGCTCATTTACTTTAATTGCTATGTGCTAGGGAAGTGCTACATGATAAATACTTAATATTGTTTAGTTGGCCAACAGGTTGGCTGGTTAGTTGCTTGACTGCATGACTGGTTGGCTGAGTGGTTGGTTGGCTGTTTGACTGATTAGTTGCTGAACAGTTGGTGAGTTGACTAGCTAGTTGGTTGGTTGGTTGGAAGGCCAGATGTTGGATGGTTGCCTCATTGGCTGGTTGATTAACTGGAAAACTGTTTGGTGAATAAAGATGAGGGTGATAGATCAGCTTTGGCATTAAAGTTAATCAAATTTTTATTAAACTTTCACAGACTCTATGATATAGAACAACTTACCAATGCTAACAATTTACTGTCAGTCTCAGTTCTTTCTAAAAAATAGTACTTTTCTCATAGTGCTGTAGTAAAGCTAAAGGTGATATTGCAGATAAAGTTTTAGCAAGGTGCCTCAGACATATTGTGTGTTCACTGTTTCAGAGAGAAGAAAGGAACAGGTATATAGCTCATTGTTAGAACATTTGATTAACATGTGCAAGACCTCGTAGGTTCCATCCCAGATACCACAAGAAAAATAAAATTAAAATTTTTGACACAGAAAGAAAGAAGTATGATTGTTTTTTCCAAACAGAACAAAATTAGTGAAAGCAAACAATTAACCTGTTTTAAACATTAGCCATGTTGATTTTAATTCTTCAAATATGTCGCACTGTAAATACGTGCTATAAAGGCACATCTATTTCAGGCTAGTGGTGCACATGCCAAGATGGAGAAACAAACATCTAGAAAACACACAGCCACACAAGAAGCCATTTTTCTCCTTGATAGGATAAAAATGTTAATTCTCTTCCTCCCCGTTCTTCCTCATTGCCCTCTTGTAGCACTATTGCTGGGCTCATTAGGTAGTAATTTTCTCTACCAAAAAGGGGGTCTGATAATATTTTTCTTGACATGAGCAGTAGTAGTTACCCAGGTATTTGCTTTGCAATTATTTGATAACCTGAACATGATGTATAATGTATTTTTCCCTATGTACATTCACACTCATGTTTAAAGAAGGTGGATTTGTCATGTGAGAATGTGACTGAATAGGATAGAAAAAGCCAAATTTAAGCTGAGAATTGGTTTATAGGAGTAAATACTCTGATCATAAAAAAGAGGAGATGAAGTCTATTCCAACGACTCCAGATGTGTCAAAGATCCATGTCACAAATTGAGCAGCCAGAGTGGCAAGCTAGAAAGACCTTTTTTTTCCTTTTTCTTTCTTTCTTTCTTTTTCTCTTTCTTTCTCTTTTTGCTTGTTGCTAGAGCAGATGTAACCTACACTGAAGTCACTCTAGGACAGGATCTTTCTATGACACGTGCCACTTCCCTATACAGGGCTCTTTCATAGTCCTCGACTAGGAGAGCCACTCCGCACAGCCACCACCACCCATCCTTCTGCCTTCATCCTTAACATTCATGCCATACGTGCATGATTTCAGAGACAGCTGCCTTGCCTTATTCAATGCCATTAGAAATGCAGTCAAGAATTACACTTCTTTATTACTAACAAGTAGCATTTGGTTTTTCAGCGCCGACTGGGAGATGCTGCAAAGAAAGCCATCAGCAAACTCCAGGTCAGAACCATCAAGAAGGGTGACAAGGTAACAGCTTCTTTTCTTTGTGGTGAGGATCTAGTCATAGAAGCTCTTGTCTTTTCTGACAGCCAGGGCAGGAAAGAGGGAAGAATGGGAAATGGAAAGGCTCTTTCAAAGTTGTGCTATAAGCATTTGATACATTCTTTTAATTAAATGTTACCTAAAGCAGTTTATAAAAGGACAAAAAATATCATTGGTTAATAAATATGAGAAATAAAAATAAGTGTGCAAGAGAACAGACAAAGCCAGAATGGTAATAGTACACAAGTGCATTACCTGAGAGCTATAACAGAAATGGGCCCTGAGTTTAAGTTGGGATTTTCTATCCGTCAATGCAAAAAAGGAAACAAAACTCAATATTTAAACAATTTTCAACTACCTTATTCCAGTGTCCCACAAGATAAAAACAAACATGACCTCCACCTGATAAAGATTTTCCAGTAATCCTTACAGAAAAGGCTTACATCTGTAGTGTAAACGCAGGAAGGATCTTCTGTCTCTTGAACCCTAGCTCTCAGAACCCCAAAGTCATCGCAGTTGCCCTGGCTGCAGAATGAGTGCGTGAAACTTCCACTGTCCACATGTGCACCAGGTGTTGTCACTAGTCTGAATAATTGATTTTATACACAAATTATGTGCTGTTATTTTTCAACCAAATGAAAACACGATTGACCTTAATGAGATAAAATTCATTTAAAATGATTATACCAAATTTAAAGTTAAAATTTTGGTCATGACTTTTCTCCCCCTCCATCGGAGAAAAACAAAGTTCAAGGACTATGAAATAAACTATGAGATCTCAAAAGCGATTTATATACGCAAGAAGATAAAATCTTATACCCGTAATAAATTATTGGCTGGGGGACTCGACCCTGGGACTGCTGTGCACGCTCGCTGCGCGCCAGCTCTCCTGCTGTGTGGGACCCCTGGGACCCGAGGCCAAGGCGGCTCGCCATGCTGCTTCTGTTGCAGGAAACGGAGCCCGACTTTGACAACTGTGCAGTCTGCATCGAAGGCTACAAGCCCAACGACGTGGTCAGGATCCTGCCCTGCAGGTGAGTGGCCACACCTCCTGCTTCTGATTGGCTGGCTGTGTGTGGCGGGGGGCGCTCCCGGGCCCCGCCCTGCTGGCCCAGTGACAATGTTGCCTTTGCCAACAAGCCAAACACACCTTTTCCGGTACCCTTGAACCTTGAAAGGGCTGTGTCAGTTGAAATCGGCAGCATTCTTCTGACCCTTTTTGCATCAAAGGAAGCGATTAACTAGCACCTCACGAGACTGAACGTGGTGTTCTGGGTCCAGGTGTGCGTTTGCTTGAACAGCTCTGTGATGCTCACATTCCGTCCCGACTTTCCCTGCTGGTATTTTCATTGAAATAACAAATCCCTTCAAATATTTTGTGAATGATCATGAAGAGCTCAGCAATCAGAATGTGGCAGGAGTGAGTAAGAAGCGAAAGGCAATTTCAATTCCCGTAACTTTTTACTACAGAAAAACCATGTGACATTCTCTTCCCCAAATAAAATTCTGGGGTCTAGGTGAAAATGGCAGAGTATAGACCTGGGGAAACTCCTCAGGTGGTTCTCCCATATCCCTAATGCTTCTTCCTGATTAAAATTCACTGCAAAGGTGCCAGATTCTCTCGAATTGTTACATTTGAACACTTCAATTACATCAAGTATTTTCAAGTCGTATAAAAGCCATCCTCCTTAATTGAAAATCCTTCTACTATTTTTGCATCCGTGAATATGTCCTAAAAATAAAAATGAAATTATGCCTTGATAAAATGTTCTTCCCTTAGATTGGCTTTAAAAATTGTTAAGAGAATTCAAAAGTGAGTAAAGTAGAAAACTGTGCACCACAAACATATGAAACAATCCATTGGTTCATTTAAACAATGCAAATTGAGGAACCGTTTATTAGAAATACAAAAGGAATAAAATATGGCTTTAGGGTTGGTGTAACAATCTCAATATGATTAAAAATAAAAAAGGACTGAATGCTCAAATAAATGCAGATACTCCCAAGGGCACAGATCATCCTTCAAATGCTCACAGGCAAATTGTTATCAGGAAAAGGGGTAACAGTCCAGTGTGCCCGCTCCCCAGCCTGCAAGGGTGGCCACTGTCCTTAGTTTACCTCCAAAACAAAAACCGTAAATGGGGACTCTACAGACTAGTTTCCTGTGTATGTGGTCACTCTATGTGCATTCTCTCTAACACCACACTCAGGTCTTACTCAGTGACTTCCAGAAACACTAGCAAGGAAGGGGAGGATGTGAACTACAGGAAATGCATCGGGGTCCCATCTTTCAGTTCCGAAGTATTTTATTAAGGGTTCTGTAAGAAGCAAGTCAGGTGCTTCCCTGTATTTTTCTAAGAGATTATTTAGAGCATTATGAGGGTCCTACTAATAAAAAATATCCACAAGTAACTAAAGTTTAATAGCTGAGAATCCAAAGAACTTTCCAAGTACAATTAACAAAATCTGTTTTTAAAATTATATATGTAATATATACAGATAATATGTACATATCCATATATGTAATATATGTACATACATTATATATATAATATATACATATTTATATATAAAGAGAGAGAAGGCTGGGCATGGTGGCTTGTGCCTATAATCCCAGCCACTCTAGTGGCAGAGATCTGTATTATTCAAGGCCAATCCCAACAAAAATGTTAGGGAGACCCCCATCTCAACCAACAAACCAGGTGTGATGGTGCACAACCATAAATCCCAGTTACAAAGCACTAGTGGGAGGATCTATGTCTGAGGCCAGCCCTAGGAAAAATGCAAGACCCTACCTGAAAACTAACTAAAGCAAAAAAGAGCCGGGAGCATGGCTTAAATGGTAAAGCATTTGCCTAGCCAGCACTATCAAAATTATATATATATATATATATATATATATATATATATTATATATATATATACACACACACACATATATGTATGTATATATGTAGATGTGTATATATGCATGTACACATGGCATTGCTTTAGCTCTGCAATTCATACAGTGTGGAGTAATTGTCACTGAAAGCTCTGTAAAGAGTGAATTCCATGTTACTACATAACACTGCTGGAGGCTGCCTAACAGTCAAGCCATGGTTGTGTCACAACTTCATTTACCATGTCCTGTTTCGGAACATTTGGCTGATTCTAGTTTCTAATTATGACAATTACATTGCTTTAGCAATGTTTCCATTTTCATGTTAGTCCAGACCTCCTTTTAGTATAATTTTTTTTACAAATATTGTTCATGAAAAATTATATTTTCATATTGACCATGGAAATTACCACTTTGAGAATGTCAGTCTCCTTCTTTTCCAAATGATTTTAGTTCTCAGTTCAGTCCTGATTCTTTTCACTTCAAGCTCCTTACTGGTCATGTATTTTTATTTCTTTATTGTGGATGCTGCTTTATTAATAGCAAAATACAGCATTACCAAGCATAGGTTAGATTAATTACTGCCTGATCTCATAGTGGTCACACACAGACACTCTTCAGATAGTTCATGCATTTCTTTACCATGCTGATTTTAAGATATTTTTCTGCCTGTCGCTGGTTTCTGCCAGGTGGTTTGCACTAATGGATGTTATCCAACACAGGCAGTGGCATTTGCTTTCTGCTGAATAATTTCCTCTGGGGTATCATTAAACTTTTGCCCCTGTGAGCACATAGACTCACTTTCCTATTATTTCCAGGCTGACTCATCCACAGAACTCTTTGCATCTCTGTTTCAAAAAATGCCCTGTCCCTTCTCTAATGCTTTGTTCTGTGGCTTCATAACTACAGACCTACTAGGTGCACCTTCACTGTTACCATTGAGGATGTGTTTCTAAGTCACCCACGCGTGCATTTGTACCATGACTTTTTCAAAATCATTTAATTGTTTCTCTCTTCCTGAGAACCCTGCACAAATGATAAATTAGCAAATGTATTCCCCTCTTTTATTTATTGACAAGCTGATTTTCTAAAAGGGAAGTCACCCACATATACAGTCTACGTTTTCTCCCCCACATTCTTTTTTATCTGGTCCTTCCCTAGCATATGAAGACGAGGTTCCTTTGGTTTGAGCTGGATGCGTGTACACAATGTGAGGGACAGACCTACAGACCTATGTAGGTCCACAGAGCACATCACCGTCAGACAGGTCTAACTTTTGTAGTTTGGGTTTGGACATATTACATCATTAAGACCTTTTCAAGAAACTTTGGTTTTGCTACGTCATACACATGCCAAAATATGCATGATGCTGTGTCTTGGATGATTTTTAGTAATAAAAGATATTTTATCAAAGCTTTATTGTCTTTTCCCTTGTCTGGAGAATAGGTTGGGCTCTCTGATTCTTCATGGCTTTTATTTTGTGGTGTCCCTACTTGATGCTCAACAATTGTTCATATCAGCCCATTTCAGTGCCCAATTTCAAACACACAACTTCTCAGAAAGAATAGAACTCCTTACGCAAGCCAAAGTCCATCCATGTTTGCCAGCTGTAAAAGCAAACAATGTATGTATTCTTTCTCTATAAACTGTTTTCCGTCTCTAATTTATCACTGTAGCATTATCACTAACTCATGAGGATATAAGTTCCTATTGTCTCTTCCTTTGGTCTGGCAAAGTCTCCACAACTGAGGGGAAAACTTAGAACCCTCTTTCTTTAATAAGCAGATCCGCATAACAAACTTTTTTATCATGTTTTCTTTGGAATAACATATTTTAAAGCCACCGTGTGCCAGGAATAGTAGGAATTTTATGGTAACTGTAAGACATGAAATAGATAAATGACACGGTCCACACTCTCTAAAGAAATGGCCTGCTGGGAAAGGCAGGAATTCCAATAAATAATCAAGATTCAGAATGATGTGTGTACCAATAATAACAAAATGTATACAAAATAGGTGGAGCTAATATCAGGCATAAGGAAATTAAGAAAGGTTCCATAGAAAAAGCAGTCTCTTCAGATTTTTCAAACCATGCTTTCATTTGTCCTTTACATTGTCATTACAGAAAATTTGTAAAATGGATAAAATATTTAATTATCTCACTCCCTCATCCAGGTAACTGCAACTAACATTGTCGTATATTTGCTTCCTTTTATTTCTTATGCCCATTTCTGCAAGTTAGGGTTTATTGTCACCATTATTTAACACCCTGTCCTTTTTACCTGTAGTTACAAGGATCTGCCAGAAGTAGCACTAGATTATTTGTGGCTCCTTTTGACCTTTTGGCCCTGGGATGCTGTGTTTATGCAGAACTCTCTCTAGAAGGGGCTTTTCATGACCCATCCAGAATTTCCTGCTGAGGTAAAGCAGAAATGTGTCCTGGACCCTTGAGCTTACTTCTTAATAATCCAGTGAGGAACTGTTCACAATCCACCATCCCACATGCTATGGAGGACAGATGAAAGTAGTTTCTTGGGCATCGATGTACTGTTTGCTTCTGTGACCTGTAAAGGCAATGCATCCTGCTGACTTACTATTATGAGAGTTGAGCTACAATTAACATTTTCTAAAACTCCAGCTGTTACCTTTGCTGGATGCTCCCCAACTTTTACCTGATTCACAAATCACTTCCTGTGGTTACAGATTGTAAACAGGGTTTCCTGGAGGGAAGCAGGGACTGTAAGAAGCAGCACTGGTCAGTGCTGCCTAGAGATTAATCAGAGCTCTTTTCACCATGGATGAAGCAGGGGAAGTGGTAGAATATAGTAGGCAAGTAACAACACCTACCCTGAAATCCCTCCATGCTGAAAGTGGACTGCAGCTGTTCAGCATCCCAACACTGAAACCATTGCCCAGGGGACTGGAAGGAGGGAAACCGCCATGTCTGCTCTGGGAACAGTCACCAGTTCCACAGGCCCAGGGTCTGTTAGGCTTCTTTCCACAACAGGACATCAGTTTTGCCTGAGTGAGATCACCTGTGAGATCACTCTAGAACAGATTCCTAGGTTTGTTTGAAAGTATACACAACATAAAATGTACCTTTGGGCCATTTTCAAGTGTGTGGTGCAGTGACATTAAGTCGAGTCACATTTCT